TGGCTTCCTGAAGCTATAATATAAGGATAGTTTTTATGAAAATCCAGAGAAAAATTACCAAAATGCATTTTGTCAAAAGTTACCTTCGGGCAGGTTCATGTTTTGTTGATTCGAGACACCACTACCGCTAGCTTCACCATTGCCAGTACTTTCAACCGTGTAAACATTGCGAGCTGTGAAGAAAGAAAATAAAATTATAATAGTTTTTTTCGGACTTTTGTAAATTTACTCTGAATTTTAAGAGTAATTTAACAAAGCCCGTATGATGTCATGTATTTTTGTAAATTTACTCCGAATTTCCAGAGTAAAATTACAAAAACACATGATTTCGAACAGATTTTGAAAAATTACTCTGAAAATTCAGAGTAAAATTACAAAAATGCATTCAAAACGTTACGTTCGAGATGCTGGGGGGCAGACACGTGGAATAGGATTAGACTTTTAGTGTAAAGATTCGAGAAATTGCAATGAAATAGCAACGCCTGTGAATGGATTCGCGTGGAATAGCGAAAATTGTTTCACTTCAGATCCATTTGACATTTCTTTTGACGTTTATTGATGGATTAGTGGAATAGTTTGGAATAGCAAAATTAACATTTTTGACGGAAACAGTGCATGGAATAGGAAAAATAGTTTCGATTTCACATTTGTGTTTTTGGATTAGTGGAATGGCTGGATTAGTAATTTATATAGTGGATTCGGAATTTATTAGTGGATTCTTGGTGTCTCCCCCCTAGTCGAGATGGGGTACGTTTTGTGGTCCCACGACCTCACAAGTCGTGGAAGATATATGAAAGCAAACGTTACCTGTAAGCCGAGTCACATTTTGTTGCTCCACGGCCGAAAATTCGGAGTGAATTTAGGTTTACAAAGATACATGATATGATAGCAAACGTTACCTGCGTCCTGGACTACGTCTGGTTGGCTTCACGATCAAAAATTTAGAGTAAATTTACAAAAATACATTTTGTCAAAACTTACCTTCGAGCTGGGGCACGATTCGTGGTTTCCCGTCCTCACGAGTCCTGGCTTCACCGCCACCAGTATTTTTGACCGTGTCAACATTGGTAACTGTGAAGAAGAAAGATTATTAGTTTTTTTGGATCTTTGTAAATTTACTCGAATTTTAAGAGTAATTTTACAAAACCCGTATGATGATCGAACGAATTTCCTAAATTTACAATATTCAAATTTTGAGTAAAATTACAATACTAAAATTGTACCTTGAGGTGTTGTCGGCTGCAATCTGGCCTCGGGGTCGTTACCAATACTTTTGTATGCTATAACGTCCGTACCACCTGTACCACCTGTAAAAAATGAGAATTATTTTTGTTATTAATAAAAGTATGCATACATATTTAGAATTTTTGTAAATTTACTCTGAAAATTAAGAGTAAATTTACAAAAGTAAACATACCTTCGAAAAATTTCTTGAAAAGTTCTCTAATTCCTTTTTCCCGCAAAGAATTGGCCTGCTCATTGAAAGTTTTCGTTACTTCAGAGAGATGAACTATCATTTGATTGAGTTCCGACTCTGGCAAGACATTGAAAGTTGCTCTTGCTTTTCCTGGTTCTCCACGATAAAAATGTTTGGCGTAATATTCAAATATATCAGTTGGTGGTTTTAAAATAGATCCTGTGAATAAAAATGAATGTTAGTATGAAAAATGTGTATGTATTTTTGTAAATATACTATGAAATTTGTAGTAAAATTACAAACGAACG